GGCAACATATTTATAAATATGCTTGACACAATTGATGTATGGACTGTGATAAGAGTTGTATGATCCCCTAATAAAATGATTTTTTTTAAGTTATAAGAGCCCCCAATGAAGTTATCTTTTAATAAATTTTAAAAAATAGTTACAATCTTGGAAACCCACAGTGGCAGTTCTACCCTGTTCTGCAGGGGTACTTTGAAGTGAAACCAACTTTATGGTAATGAGTTTGGTTTGGTTTAGTGTAACTACACACAGTTGGCAATTCGAATCCACCAGCTGTTTTTCAGGAGAAAGATGAGGCTTTCTGCTTCTGTAAAGATTTGGAGCAGCGGTTCTCATCCTGTGGGCTGTAACCCCTTTGGGTGTCAAACAACCCTTTCACAGGGGTCACCCGATTCGTAACAGTAGCAAAATTACAGTTATGAAGTGGCAACAAAAATAACTGTATGAAAAAAATAAAATAATTTTTTGGTTGGGGTCACCACAACATGAGGAACGGTGTTAAGGTTCGCGGCACGAGGAAGGAAAATTCGGTCTATAGTTAAATTTTTCATGCTTCCCTTTAAAGGGCCATTTCTTTATGGAAGGCAGAGAGGAAAGAAACAGGCTGTGCTAGTTTGGAAACCTTTTACATGGTTATTATGGTTAAGCCCAGGTTGTTTAATAACCTTTTTAAATTAAAAATATTTTTGGTTTTGGCTTGATAACCATTCGATCTCTTTTAGTGGTCTCCCATCCCTGCCTCCTCTGTGGTTTTCCATAAAATAACGCTTAGTGCATACACGTTGTCTATTTTCATTAAATGGATGTATTTACTCTAAAAACAGAACTAAGAGTTACCAACACGGGGTTCTTCCTGCCTCGGCCTCCTTTGTCTCAGGACAAAACAAACGTTGGGTGACTCACGGAAGATGGAAAGGGATGTTTGTTCTGGGCTGTGGAGTCGGAGCCCTGGAGATGGCCATTGGTTCATGTAAAGAGAAATTAATCATTTAGTCTTTCAGGAGTGTCGTTGTAGAAAGTCAAGTGTGGACCTGTGAGGCAGAGTATTGACTCTAAATAATCAGAATTCTAAATGCCTCTGAAGAAAGTGAATTGTCTTACATTTCTTTGCATTCTTTCTGAATTGATTCCGAAGGAATCTGTACATTTACTAAGTTCATGATTCCTTGATTTTTTGTAGAATAAAAGACTCTGAAAGAATAAATTGAGCCTAGGGAAAATTCTGCCAGAAACAAGTGCGTGAAAGATCTCGCAGCACCTGCGGGTGGTTTCGCCAGTTCCAGCTGCATTCCTCGGGCCTGGCACGAAGGCCATCCTCCTGGAGAGACCTCGGCTGACCAAGCTGTATGCGTAGTTCCTACTCCTCACTTACTCCACTCCACCTTCCTTATCCTGATAGGTTTTTCTCCCTAAAGCTTAACATCTTATGGGTACATTCCAATTTGGGGGTGCCTGAAGCTTCCCCAATTGTAGGGAGGGTGTTCTTTATGAAATGAGAAATAAAATCACGATTACAAAGGGAAGTATGAAAGCGAAGATTTATTTAGAATGTGAAAAGGAACCACAATTAATTGCTGGCGTCTTGAAGAGTCAGTCCTTCCGTCTAAGGTTTCTGTAGGCGATTTGCCAGGAACGCCGGTGTGTACGAATGTACAGAAAGTGCAAGCTGGTTTTTACTTGCCACTCAGGGCACTCTACACCCTCAGCACGCCCCAGCACTCCCAGGGGCACCACAGCCTCTGCAGAGTGGTGATTTGTTGGTTTACGGTAAATCTGCCCACTTAAGCTTTTTAAGAGTAGCCACCTAGTTTCTTTGTTCACTGCTGTAAAAGCACACGACACATTGGTTGAATAAATTTCATGACCGCCAGAAATGTGGGAAAAGAAAAGCCCAGTGTCCTCAAGTCAGTTCCAACTCAGACTGACCCACATAGGGCTTCTGAGATTGTAAACGTTGACAAGAGCAGAAACCTCCTCTTTCTCCCACAGAGCAGCAAGTGGCTTTGAACCAGCCGAACTTGCTGTTAGCAGCCCAACAGCAAATCCCACAGCATCCCCAGAGTTCTTTAAACCAGTTAAGAGCGTCTTAGGCTGGGTTCTCAAACGAAACAAAACCAGTTTAAAACTGCGTTATAGAGAGAAATCTGCATTCAAGAACATGGCTCATACAGTTGCAGGAGGAGAGAAGTTCAAGTACAGGCAGTTCCAAGTCCCTGGGTCAGATGTTTAGTTGGAAGCTTCTTTGCACAGCTTTGGGGGCTGATGCACCCCCAATCTGCAGGAAGGTCACAGACTGGTGGCTGCAGAGGTAGATGAACTCAAAATAATAATTTATAAATTATCAAGGGTTCATGAGGGAGCGGGAGAAAAAGGAGTTGATGCCAGGGGCTTAGGTGGAGAGCAAATATTTTGAAAATGATGAGGGCAATGAATGTACAATGTGCTTTACACAATTGATGTATGTATGGATTGTGATAAGAGTTGTATGAGCCCCTAATAAAACGATTATAAAAAAATCATTTTCTTGGGGCCCTTATAACACTCCATACATCAACTGCATCCAGCATATTTGTACATAAGCTGCCATCATTTCCAAAACATTTTCTTTCCACTTATGCCCTAGGTGTAAGCTCTTTTTCACCCTCCCACCCTCATGAGTCCTTGATCACTTATATATTGCTATTATTTCATATCTTACACTGTGCGTTGTCTCCCTTCACCCACCTTTCTGTGGTCTCCCTCCTTTGGGGGTGGGGGCGCTGTATGTCCAACCTTGTCATGGGTTCCCCCTTTCGCCTATGCTTTTATTTCAATCCTACCTGGGAATGGATTCTTTTGTGTCGATGTGGCAGGACGCGTAGTGTCCTGAGCCCATCTCATCTGAGAGAGAAAAGACATCCGTCACAAGTTAATAAGCAGAGCTAAGGGAAGAGATGCCATGACATCTGGAGATTCCCAAGGAACCAGGAACAGCAGACAGGTCCCTTCCTTCCTCCAGAGATGGCAGAGACAGTCCCTCCCTGGGGCCAGTACTCGAGACTTCCCGCCTGCTAACCTGGGAGAAAAGAAACTTTGTTTGGTAGAGCCATCCATTTCTGGCCTGGCTTAGAACTAGTGTCTCTCACTCGATCCTGTCTTCCATGTCAAAAGGAACAGCCAAATAAGAATTGTATACAAAAGAGGAACTGCAATTAAAATAGCTCAGGCCACAAACTATGGTTAAGATTCCCCAAGTTGGACACTTAAAATAATTACATATAAAATATGTACATATTTTCTTTAAAATAATTACATATAAAATAAACAATATTCATTTTTTAAGTACAGTGGATATGTGTATGAAATGACAGCTTTTGAGAAGACAGTATTAAGATGTGATCTGTGATCACAGTTCCAGCCAGGAGATAGCACCCATGCCCGTAGAAGTGTGCCAATGGAGATTTCACTGTACTAGAAGAGTGCGGGCAGGACTGCCAGGGAGGATCTGAACGGCGTGCGACTTCAGCAGATTCAGAGAAGTTAAAAGGGGGTAAGGGATTGATTACACCTGTTTCTATCTAATCCACACGGGAGAGTGCCAAAGCACCACTGATCCCCAAAGGTCCGGCATTAACTGCCCAGTGCACTTGAGAGTAATAAAGCATAGTTGAAATCGTCTGTAATTCAACTGTCCATCTCGATGGCCTCAAATAAAGCAGTTTTACCAAGTACACAGTTCTATTTAATTTTATTGAAAACACAAAGCACTAATATTAAAATAAGTTAAACCTCATTCATTATCTCCCTTGCTCCCCCCCACCCCCACCCCCAACCCAGTGAATCTGTTTTGCATTCCATCACAGGCATGCAGATTTGACAGGGTCACCATGGTGGCAAACACGTGACTCCACTATGCTTGCGTTCCTTACTGCGGATCAGACACATCCACGTTCGCCACAGTCGCCAGAGAATTCCTTTAATGGCTGTACAGCACTTCACTACTTTTATTAGCCTACTTTCTTTCTTGACACAAAATTACTTCCAAGTTTTCCTACCACACATAATGCAGACATAAACATCTTCATGCAGTTTACGCCCCCCTCCCCCCCCTTTAAAATTATCCCGTAGGTTGTGAACGGAGTAGGGGGCCCGGGGTCGTTTTCATGGCTCTTTGCAATGTCGTACCAAGTATCTGCTACCGTGAGATTGACAGTCTTGGAAACCCTGTTTCCAAGTCCTGCAGGGTCACTTGGAGTAGAAAGGGACTGACCACCACTACTACCCCTCCCCCTCCAAAAAGGAGAAAGAAATGGACTGACCGGCAGAGTTTGGCTGGGCTTTGGTTTGTGGATCTATTTAAAATCATCTTCCACAGTTCCGTCCCCAAATTTTAAACAGACACAAACAAGAAGCGTTAGGTAGCTTTTAGACGTCCATAGTAAAGTTGAATACTGGGAGGATGGCACAGGGCAGGGCGGGGTCTCGTTCAGTTGAACGTGGGGGTCCCTGAGAGCCAAGAACCAAGTCGAGGGCTCCTACTAACATTATTCTGGTTGTGATGAGCGGGAGTCCACTCAGCAGCAGTGGGTTTTTTAAAAACCAAAACCCAACCCCAAGGGTTGGGGACAGATGGGTTGCACGGGTGACTAAAAGTTTGGATGCGTTAGCGCCAGCAAAGTTATGCCACATGAAAACTGGTAGGGCAAGCACTTCGGGCTAAGGGGTTTCTCGTCCAGGGCTTCAGCCACCCAGGTGGCCTCTGGGCGGGCCAAGAAATTAAGGGACCCAGATCAGGGACCCAGACGACCACGTGCCAGTTCACATGGGTTGGGCAGGTCCAACTCAGAGAGATGGTAAGTGACGCCACCAAGGTCACCACCCTTCTTATTGGAAGTGCTAGGAAGTATTTTCCCACCCCAAATCCTTTAAAAATAAACACCCCCCCCCAAAAAAACCCAAAAAACCCAAATATCCCAAAACAGCAAGTCAAATTTAAATTTGACTCATTGTATTTTTTTTTCTCTTAACTGTTCTATCAGCTTTCTAGCACTAAAACTCAATGTCTATATGCAAACATGTAGAATAAGGGATTTTATAGCATGCGTAAGATCCCAAAACTAGCTATTTACATCAAAGTGGAAAACTTAAAAACAGCCCTTAGCCTCAGCAAGTATTCAATTATTTTCTCCGTAGTGTTTTTCTTTCAGATTTGTCATTCACTTACATTTCATTTGCAAATATTTGAACAGTAATGAACTTTTTTACACAGTTTTATCTCTTGCTCACGGTCAGTATATTAAAAAACAACAATAAAAACCCCATGCACAATAAATTACATACGCTACAAAGCAAAATGACTCAGTCCCCAGTCTAGATTAATTCTATCGGTGAAAAAGAACTGTGTTTGTGTAGGTGCTGACTTTGGAGAGGTAGAAGAGATTCTCTTGTTGAATCTCAACTTCTTCAAGCTGAAGAGAACCCGCATGCACCCTGTCTACTACTTTTTAGAGTGACGAGACACTGCAGCTCAGAATGATTCTGACCTACACTACACCCAGTGTAAATGCTACCAGGAGCAAAAGACCAACCACAAGGGTAATTTCACCTTTTACCAAGGGCTCAGTATCCCATATCAGCTTTAAAAATCAGAGATTTTAGGTGGCAATCCCACTGATTCAACTGTACAGACCCAAGACTTTCTTCCCCATGAATCACTGGGCTTGTGTGTACAGTAAGGGTGAGGGATTAAAACTTACCAACCCCCTACTATGGGCCAGGTCATGATAACAAGGGGAAAAAAAAGAGTTTTTTCTTTAAAACAAAAGAAAAAACTCTACCCCCAAGAAGCAACTACTCCTCGGTCACTTACTGTGCGGATTTGATCAGACACTGTACACACACACACAGCCATGGGAGCGCATGGCACTTGGAAGATTACCCACAATTTCCCACTTATTAAGGTCTGGGTCGTATTTCTCGATGCTCTGAAGGTACGTTCCCTTTGAGTAGGAATATCCTCCAGTGACATAAATACAGCCATTCAAGATGACAGCGCCACACTCCATCCTCCTCTCCATCATGGGCGCGATTTCTCTCCACTCGTTCTGTTCGGGGTCGTAGCACTCGGTGATGGTAGTCTGCCCGCCAACTAGATACAGCTTGTTTTCAAACGGAACTGAACACAATCCGTATTCTTTTCAAAGAAACAAGGGGAAAAAAGGAAACTCTCATTAGGATATAAAACAAAGAGAAACACTGCATCGAGGTGATGGGGTAGTCTTTGATGAGTAAGACTACCGTCACGGAGTTCCCACACTGGGAAGGTGTGACTGGCAGATAGGAGCTACTGGCCCTTTGCATGGAAGCCACCCATTTTGTCCTGGCCACGGAAGTGAGAGAGGACCATCCACGAACTTTCCTCATGAGGGTGATTTGTCCCGGACAAAGGACAGGCTGACGCCCTGAAGTGGGAGACTGGGAAGAGGTGTCGTGAATACGCCCTTCCAGCAGCCCCCCTGCAAGAGGCGCACACTGACAGGGCTCTGGGAAGCCACTGGCTTCAAAGCGCCACCTTTGAGTGGGGGGCCGCTGTCTCTGACTTTGCTCTCTGGGCAGAAGCCCTGCTTTCATGTAAAACTGACCTCACTTTGACAGGATTAAGGAGCCCAGGTGATGCTGCCAGGCGATCGCTGGACTGCTACCCACACAGCTGATCCATGGGAAAGAGGAAGTGGTTTACATGGCTGGTGGGTTTGAACTGCCAGCTTTGTGGGTTAGCGAACCCCATGTACGGCCACCACCACCACCACCAGAGCCGCTGGTGACACTAAGTTCACCACTGCCACGGAGTCGATTCTGGCTCACAGCAACCCTGTACAGGGTTTCCAAGATGATAAATCCGCATAGGCACAGCCAGCCTCCTCTTTCTCCCGAACAGTTGCAGGTGGTTTTGAACCACGGATGGACCTTGTGCGGTTAGTGCCCGATGTCTCTCACGTAGAGCTACCTTGTACGAAAGGAAGGTTCAGTGGCACCCCATGCGCCTGTGTGACTGACCTACAAATTCTTTTTTTAGTCTTCTCTTACTTTGGTCAACTTTTCTTTATTTTGCTTTTATTTTATTTTAAACATTTTATTAGGGGCTCATACAACTGTTATCGCAATCCATACACACATCAATTGTGTAAAGCGCATTTGTACATCATTCTCAAAACATTTTCTCTCCACTTAAACCCCCAACATTAGGTCCTCATTTTTCCCCTCCCTCCCTGCTCCCCCCCCCCTTACAAATTCTTAAAGACAGAGGATAGGCGTCTTCAGAATTGCAGGGGGGATTGCTGACTCCAGTACCAGGTACTCCAACAGCATGGCTTAAAAGCCCCGGTGGCGCGGTGGGTTTCATGTGGGCGGCTAACCAGAAAGCACCAGCCATCCTGGGGGAGAAAGATGAGGCTTTCTACTCCCATAGAGGTGCACCATCTTAGAAACTCACAGGGGCAAGGCAGTTTTGCCGTCTGACAGCGTCTCCATTGAGTTCAAATGGAGTGAGCAAATTACTTGATACTTAGGTGGCTCAGTTTTCCTGTGTGTAATGAAACCAAACAAAAATCCAAACTCCCTGACATCAAGCCGATTTTAACTCAACACCAATAAAGCCCCAAACCCACTGCCATCCAGTCGATTCTAACTCCAGCGTGACCTCACAGGAGGACGACAATTCAGACATTGTAAAATCTCACTCACCTTTCTCCCTCTGTGCAGCTGGGAGGTTTGAACAGCCAGTCTTGTGGTTAGTCAGCCCCACACCTAATCCACTGGGACCACTCTGGGACTACCAACCACAAAACCACATTCCTCATGGCTGGCTTCTGTGGGGCAGGGCAGGGCAGGGCCGCTCCTGCTTGTTGCCCGGGGCTCACCGTCTGGTCCTCAGAGGGACGTTCATGATTACCCAAGCTGAGGGACCCAGCCAGGCATCACTATTACATTCACTCACAGCCACTGGGTTGATGCCGACTCACAGCGACCCTACCGGACAGGGTTTCTGAGACCGAAATGCTTGATGGGAGTGGAAGGCCTCCTCTTTCTCCCACAGAGCAGCTGGTGGTTTTGAACACTGACTGCAAACAAATACTGGCTGTGCTCAGGTCGGCCAGCGAGACGAACAGACCAATACAGAGTTCAGAGAGAATTACAATGTCTTCCAGGAATGCAACAGCCCCGGAAGTGATTTTTCCCCCTAAGATTTTTGTTCACTGAAAGGACTTTTATAAAGCTTATCTAGTCTAGCTTCCTTATTTTACCGGAAAGTAAGACCAGCCGCCT